TCTTTTACTTTCCCAAGAGGGTATATTGTACTAGGGGGAAGGGTTGGGAGGGGAGAAAAGTACAACAATGAATGAATGGAAATCCAAAGTCTCTAAATTTTCATTGAAATGAATAATAAATTTAAAAAAATAATAATTTCAGTACCATCCCAGGAGGAGTTTTGAGGCCTTGAACACTAATGAGCGAAGACCAATTGAGCTGTGGGAGGATATCAAGAATATCTAGGGAGAATGCAAAAGTTTATTACAAAGACCGAGGAGTAAGAAAAGACCAAGATGAATGTCAAAAGCGATTCTGAATGTTGCACTAGAATGCCGAGAAGCCAAAGCAAAGGGAAGAAATCAGGAAGTTAAGGAGCTGAACAGAAGACTTCGAAGGAAAGCCCAAGAATACAGAGAAAAGTATCACAATGAAATGTGCAAAAAACTGGAGTCAGAAAAGCAAGAGGGCTGAACTTGTTTGACATTTCTTAAGCTGAAGGAATAGAAGAACAAATTAAAGCCTCAAGTTGCAATATTTAAGGATGCTATCGGCAGAATATTAAATGATCCCGGAAGCATTAAAAGAAGATGGAAGGAATATAGAGTCACTGTAACAAAAAGAATTGGCTGAAAGAAGAATTTTATGAAACAATGTAGCATCAAGAGCCTGTGGTGATGAAGGAGGAAGTTCAAGCCACTCTGAAGGAATTGGCAAAAAACAAGGCCACAGGAATTGACAGCATACCATTTGACATATTTTAACAGATGGACATTGTCCTGCATGTGCTCACCAAGTTGTGCCAAGAAGTCTGGAAGAGATCCATATTTGTTCCGATTCCAAAAGAAGGTGGCCCAACAGAGTGTGGAAATTATTGAACAATATCATTGATATCACATGCAACCAAGGATCCTGCTTAAAATGACCCAAAAACGACTGGAACAGGACATCATCATAGAAGTGCCAGAAGTGTAGGCTGAGTTTAAGGAGGCTGTGGCACTAGGGATATTATAACTAGTGTTAGATCGATCTTAGAAGACAGTACCAGAGGAAGGTCTGTCTGTGTTCCATTGATTGTGCAAAGGTATTTGGCTATATGGATCACAGCAAATTGTGGCTAACTCTGAGAAGCATGGGAATTCCAGAACATTTGCTTGTCCTTATGTAAAACCTAAACTTGAAACAGAAGGCAATCGTCAGAACAGAGAAAGGAAACACCACATGGTTCAAAGTCAGGAAAGGTGTATACTAGGGATGCATCCTGTTTCCATACCTTTTCAATCTGTATGTATCCAGACGGTTGGGGCTTTATGAGGAGGAGTGTGTCATCAGGATTTGAGGAAGTCTCATCAACCTGCATTATGCAGGTGACACA